GCTGCTGTAGTATTTGGGATTTCACAGCTTTTCCCTTGCTCCCGTGAATAGCAAATGTTAACAGCGTGTTTCACCGCGTGCGATGCTGGTTGCTGGCACAAAGGGCCGCTCTGACGAACCTCCCGTCTTCCCATGGAGCGTGTTTTGTTCCAAGTCTGCAAAACAAGATTTAAGTCTCCAAAAGAAAGGTTGTTACCTTGAATTACAGAAACTTTCAGGCACTTGGGACCTTGCGAGCACCCTCTTGCTTAGGGTCTTCCCTCCAGACTGACAAACGCCTCCAGCCGCGCTCCGCAAGGGTTCGCCGAGGTCTGCCAATGGGAATTAAACGGAAACACAGTGGAAATTCAGAAATTCGCTATTCACGGGCAGACAGTGGCTGCATCGGCAGGGACGCACCAGCTCCGCATCCCCACGCAGAGAGCTGCGTCCCCATGGATGCTCCAACGGGCCCTCCGCTCCCCGGGTAAATCTCTGCGTGACCTTGCTCACCACACCAACACAGAGGCACACAGAAAACACTGCTTTATTGACTGCATTTGCCAACACATTGAGGAATGCAAAGGGTTTTTTTTCATAAGCAATGGGCCATGGTCCCAATGTGTATTAAAGCATACACTGTATCTAAACAGGATGAAAATAATGGCAGACAGAGCTATTCCAAGGCAACACAAATAGCATGCATAATACAGTCTCACACAGAACGAGTTTGATAACATTATATTGCTTTAAGGATTAACTAACATGGAAAATGTACAAAAAGGAGAAATAGGTTTTTGCATTAATGAAAAATACATTTTTTCTCTACAAAGGAATTTCTAATACAAGAAAATAAATATTGCAACATAAGCCAAAAATAATTTAAAATTGCTCTTTTCAATATATTTTCAATATTTCTCTTTTATATTAACAAATGGCACATCACGTTCTTTGAAACAAAGAAAACAGAAGGGTTTCTCCTCCTGTGACATTCATATCGTTTCCTGTAACTGATGTGAAGTGGGTCTGTTTTGTATGTGGAATGGCGCAAACCGCAGGGGGGAAATTTCCTTAAAGAACAACCAAACCTGACGCCCTGCCCTGCAGCAGCATCTTCCCGCTGGC